CAACACCGACATCTGTCTCCCTGGGGCTTTGGCCTGGGGCGCCTCTTGGAGCCACAAGCAACCAGCTCAGCCTCTTCCTTCCTGCGACAGCCCTCTCTGTTCTCGATAATCATACCCATCCTGTCAACTCTAGCTGACCAAACGTTTCCAGCCCCCCACCCGGACTGCTGGGCATGCTGGGGGACAGGGATACGGGGATATTCTAGGGCTGGTAGGTAGAGCCAGAGCCCCCACCCCAGTCCTGCCCGTGACCTGCTGTGTGCCCCTGGGCAAGCACTCACCCTCTCTGAGCCTCACTGGTCTTACCTGCACAATGAGTGGTTAGGGTCGGGTGAGTGGTCTCTGCCACAGCAGGCCTGTCTGGGAGTCTGGATGGGCTCCCACTGGTCGATGGCCCTCATGTGGGATTGCCTTCCCCTTCCCTGCCCTGTCACCAGGTCTCCATCTGCCCTCCACTCGGCCAGTTGCGGCTCCTGCTGCTCTGTAGTTCCAGCCTGGCATGTCTCTCCTCTTTCACGACCTAAATCCTAAACTGGTGGCTGCCTGCTGGCTCTGGAGTCTGCCACACCAGGTCAGCTGCCTCTGAGCCACCCTCCCTGACCCATGCAGACAGACCAACCTCCTGCAGGGACTCTCAGGACCATGCCCGAGGCTCCTGCAGGCCCCAGGGGACACACAGCAGCTCTCCAGTCTCAGGCCAGCAGGCAGCCAGGTGCCCCCGAGGCTCCCCAGGCCTGGGAGTGCCCAGGACCAACGTGGGTGGCGGGCTTCCCCAGGCAAAAGAGAACAGAGGGTGGCCTGGAGTGCCAGGGTCCCACCACCTGGGCCTCCAGGCCTGGGTCCGACTAGCTCTGCCAGGTGCGTTCTAAAAAGGCTGTGTGACCTTGGAACTCCACCTATCTGCCGCCACCCCTGCCACGCAGCCCACCCCAGCCAGCCAGGACCCTTGAACGCTCATCTCCCAAACCCACTTGGCTCTGAGAGTACTAGGGCGGGGGCAGATTTTAGCAGAGGAAATCGGGGCAGAAAAGAGTGGCCCATTGCTGGAGGAACTTCAGGCATTAGCCAGAAACGTCCTGAGTGCGTCCTGGGCGGGGAAGGACAGGGCAGGACAACTGTGGGCCCAGCTGCCTGCTTCCCCTCCATTGCCGGGGAGAATCCTGTCCCCGAGTCTCTGGTCTCCGGCTGTGAGATGGAACGATAAACCTGGCTTCCCGGGCGACTGCGACACTAAGAGGTGGACCCGCGGTCCTGAGGGTCCCGCCCAGCTGCTCCAGCAGGCGCATGAGGAACTCCTGTTATTTAAATATCGGATTCCAGAAGGTGAGGCCAGTGTCTGCGGTCGGTCGCTGGGGTCCCTCTCACCCTCCCAGAGCCTCCGGGGAAACAGGGCTCCTGGGGCAGAGTCGGGGACGGTTCTTGGCACAGAGCTCTGCTCACGGCCCACGGGAGCCAAGGACATTCAGGCCCTCAAGAGCCACTGTGAGACCTCAGGGAGGCGCCCTGAGCCCCTTCCTGCGCCTGGGACCCCCAGGGTCGAGGGGAACGCCCTCCTTCACAAACTTTAATGCTGACACTTCCCAGAGCTTTCCCAGAGCCACGCACCTTCCAAACCTTCTACACACGAGGCAGGTGACCTGTTATCCCCATTTTACAGGGGAAGAAGCTGAGGCACAGGAGAAGATCAATAACCTGCCCATGGTTGTTGAGCTAGTGCGTGTACCTCACGGGGCAGTGTCGAGGCCCAAATGAAACCGGGACCCAGGGGTATCTTTGAGAAGCAGCATAACTTAATGAGCATGATCGCTGTTGTTTCTGTTCATAAGTAACATAAATCCTGTTCGCGCCTTTGACCCCGGTCAGAGCAGCCTTGGAGTTGGTGAAGCGACTGGAGCTCCAGCATCAGGGTCCCCAGCTGCACCAGGCTCTCCCGGGGCCCTGACAATGCATTCACGGGGTCATATAACTTATAAAATTGGCAAAGGCGGTATGTTTTCATATGGTTTTTCCTGGAGTTCCCTATCCTCAAAGTGTCTAAGTTCAGGCCTCGACATTCACCCGCGTCCAGGACACAGTATTTTAAAGGGAGGGCTGGGGAGAGGGGCTGACGTGGCAGGGGTTTACGCTCGGCGGAGCCGGCGGACCCTGGCAGGAGCAGCGGGCCAGCCTGGAGGAGAAGGAACCCAGGCGAGCTGCAGACAGGGGCGGGGGCTATGGAGCTCGATCCTCATGGCAGAAACAACCCCTCCTTCAAACTCCTCTCCCCCACCCAGCAGCCGAGGGTGTCCTGGTTCCAGGGCAGTCACAGTCAATGAGTGAAAAAAGCAGGGACGGCCCGCCACCCCCTGGCCTGAGACCCTGGGCAGGCTGTTTTCCAGGGCTGAGCCCCATCTCCTCATCTGTAAAATGGGGGCATAACCCCCCCTGTAAGTGGGGAGGACACAGGAGACAAGGTGCAGAAAGTGCTGGTGCAGCATCCAGCTCGGGGTCCGCCCCCAAGAGAGCAGCGTTTCAGTGTGAAGGACATGACGCTCGAGGGCGGACAAGTCTGCAGGGCCAGCTGCTGCAAGGCTGGCCTGGCAGGGGCTTCCGGAGCAGGGCTGCCCGTGCCAGCTGGGGTGCCCCTGCCCTGCACATCCATCTCCCACTCCCCGAAGAAGGGGCAGGTGCAAGGGGAGCTCCAGGTAGGAGTAACTGGGGCTAAACGCCCCCCCCCACAGCGCTCCCCCAGCCTGGGGACCAATCAGGGCTCATCAATAACCCCCAGAGCCTCCACTTCCCGCCCTGAAGTCGTCACAGCCCCGCCCAGGACAGCCCCAGCCCCTCCACGTCCCGCTCTCTCAGCGCTCCCAACAGAGCCCCACCAGGGGGCTATCTCCGCCCATTCTGTGGGACAGACAGACAGATAATGAATGAGTGAATGAATGAGTGACGATGAGGCCTGCGGAAGCGACTTGCCCAGCATCACGGAGCTGGGAAGTAGCAGAAAGGGCCCAAACCTGGGCCTGACTTTCCTGCAGTGCCCTTGGACCCCGGGCATCCCCAGGGACAGCTCAGCGACATGGTAAGCCAGCTTGCCTGGGTTCTGTTGGCCGGGGATGGCTTCCCAGGGAGCCACAGGAGGAAGAGCAGAGCAGTGGCTCCCTGCACAGGAAGACGCAGAGGCCCCGCCAGCGCAGCCTCCCTCCCCGGCGCAGTCCCAGCAGCCCCCAGCCCCTGCTCCACTCCTGCCCCCTGCCTTCCTGTCCCTACCGAGCAGCCAGCAGACAGCCACTGCTCCCTGTGCAGTGGGAGCAGAGCCCCTGCCACCCGGGCCCAGCCGGTGGGGTCGGCCCACACCAGCCTCTGGGGCTCGGCCCGGCCCTGGCTCCCTGCTACCTGCTCTTCTGGTCTCTAATCTCTCCGGCCACCGGCCTGCGTCAGTGCGATGCTCTTGCCCCATGTCACCCAGTCAGGCCACCCCCCAATCTCAGCCCTAACACTGTTCCCCAGGGAAGCCCTCCCAGTAGGTCACGCCTCTGTGACAGGCCCTCAAAGGGCTGTGTGTTGTTTCTTCCTGGCACTTACCAGTCTACAAGGAAACACTGGCATCTGCAAGCACATGGATCATGGTCTCTCCCCTGACAGATGTGAGCTGCTGGGGGGCAGGGAGCAAGCGTGGCCACACACACCACCAGCCCACCTGGGGAAGCTGCGTCCATGAGGAACCAGGCTGGCGACCTGGCCCTGGGGTGGGCAGGGCCCCCGAGAGATCACCGGGGTCGAGAGGCACGTGGCTGTGAGCCAAGAAGGCAGGCTTCGGGGGCTGGCTGGAATCTCGGCCCTGTTCTGTTGCCTCAGACAGGTGCCTGACTCCTCTGAGCCTCGGTTTCTCCATCCGTACAGAGGGGATGATAAAATCACCTCAGGTATGGGCTCAGGGATGCAGCGGGGCAACGGGTGTAAACCTCTCTCTCCCCACCCGGATGCTCTTCCCAGAAGCCTGGGCCCTGCGTGAGGTCCCCAGAGTGGGGCGGGAGGACCCCAGGCAAGAGCATCCTCCTGGGTGCCCACTCCAGGACCCCAGAGCCCTCAAACCCTTCCCCACTCGGCCTTGGAGCTCCAGACATGTGCTCCCCACCTCAAGGTGGGACCCCCCTACCCCTGAGGAAGCCCCCGACTGGACACAGGGCCCTCGCCACCCAGTGACCACCTCCCACTGGCTCCTCATGCCAGGCCCCAGATGCCCCTCAGGCACAGCCCCGTGTGTCGTGTCTGCCTTTCCCAACACCGTGGTTCCTGGAGGGCAGGGTCAGCCAGGGCCACCTGGCCACCCCCAGCCCAGGTCTGGCCCACAGCAGGTGCCAGGAAAGCGCTACCACGTTCAGACCATAGAAGGAGGAATCCATACGCTGATGGACCTGGGGGCTTCCAGCCTGGCCCAAGAGCTGGGACCACCGGAGAAGAGGGGCCCCTGGCAGAAGGGTCGGCTGAGGTCCCTGTGGCTCCAGGGCCCAATTCTCTCCTCCACAGCAACAGCGATCACTGCGCTCCAGCTGAGAAGGTGTCTGAACCGGCCAACCCGGGGCCGGGGGTCTTGAGCACCCTGGTCCCTGGCTCATCTGCTATAGGCCTGGTGCCTTCACATTGGTAGGCTGGATCAATGGATAATATCAACAACAGCGAACATTTATGGGACACTTACTATCGGGCACTATCCCAAGGCATGACACACATTCACGCATTTCAATCTACGAGGGACGTCCTGTTAAAATTCCCATTTTATAGATGGGAATGCTGAGGCCCAGAAAGGTGAAGACACTTGCCCAGAGTCACACAGCGCCAGTCTCCACAGCCCACTTTACCTGACTCCCTGGTCAGTCTGTGTGGTTCTGATGAGGAGTGGGTGCCCCAGCCTGGACCCCACTCCCCCCACCAGAGGAGCCCCTTGAGTCCCCTCCCTGCCCAGCCCCTGGGCCCTGCTTGCCCATGCAGAGTGGAGTGGTGGGGGAAGGACTCACCAGCACGCGGTCTCCCAGGCGCAGGTCCTTGTCGCCACGCTTCACAGAGCCACTGTCGGAGAGGTTGGAGCCCGACTCGTTGCCGGTCTTGACGGAGCTGTTGAGGACGCTCTCCCGCAGGGGGATCACGCGGCTGCTGAGTGGTGGTGTGGCCGTGCCCGAGTGCAGCGACAGGTTCTGGGCGGTCAGCGACTCCACCGAGTGGGCATCGCTACCTGAGCCCTCGGCCGCGGGCTGCCGGGTCAGCTTGGAGGGCCGCGTGAAGATGCCCTGCAGGGCTGGGCACTCGAAGTAGCGCACGCCGCCCACGGCGCCATCATTTTTGCCCACCGGCTCGTCCAGCACCACACCGGCCCACTGGCCCGGCGCGAACTGTGTCTCGCCGAGGTACTGCACCACGCCCGGCTTCACGCCGTTCACCCACACGCGCTCGCCCACCACGAAGTCCCCCAGGAAGTCATCGCCCACCTCGGCTGCCTTCACGCCGGGCTTCTCGGGGGCAGTGGTGGCGGCAGGGGGGCCCGAGGCCTGCTTGTGCAGGGGGGAGCCTGTGGGCAAGGAGAGAGGGGCAGTTAGGGCTCCGGCGGGAGCCAGACCCTTGGTGGCCCTAGGGGCCAGAGTCACAGTTGGAAGGGGCCAGTGCTGGCTGATGGGGAAACTGAGGCAGACGTAGCTGGCAGTGCACCTGGGCAGGTCTCACGCCCCTTGGGCATCCCTGGGTCTCTCCGTACTTTTCCAACCCCTCTGGAAAGTTCTAAGGATTTAAAGCTCAGTGAAGTGCTTCCCGAGATGCAACAGCTTCCCACAGCTCAGGGTCACTCAAAATGGAGGGCCAGGAACAAACCCATTCTCGAAGGTTACAGCTGCCACCTCCCCACCCCGGTGGGTTCAGCCCTCAGCTGTGAATCTGAGACCACCCAGGGCCCCTCTGTGGGACTGATACCTTGTCAGAGTGGTCTCTGTGCCCCCACCCTCTTCCCCAGACAGCTCTGGGCCCCATTGAAGGCTCCCAACCTATTTCTTGACAGCTGGTCACAGCCAGACATCTTGGGGCGGACGGAGCCAGAAAAACCCTCTTACTGCACTCCTGAGGCCCCCTCCCTCCCCCACCCCTCCCCAAGCCTCTGGGCTACACAGACCTGGAAAAGTGGGAGGGAGGAGGGCGGGAGGCAGAAGAAAGCTTGGAACCTCATTCCCAGGACTGAACTCCGGTCTCTCTGGCCTGAACTGGGTCCCCTGATTTAGCCCCTCCTTATAGGAAGAATGACTGTAAGGCTCAGAGAGGCAAGAGACTTGCTCAAGGCCACATAGCAGAAAGGGACTCAAACCTTGGGAGGGGGCCTGCCTCCCTGGCCTGGGCTCCAACGTGCTCCAGTCACAAAGAAAGAAGGAAAAGGAAACAACCTGCTGAAGGTTACTCATGACAGGACAAAGCAGGGCTCGAACCCACCATGCTCTGTGTGTGTGGCTCTGGGGCCCCACACAGGGCCTCCTGTTCAGGTGGGCAAGCAGGAAGCCCACCTGTCTGTGCCTCAAGGTCTGGAGGCCACCCCCCACTTCCTGCCAGACCAAGCACGGGAGAGAAAGTTCGTCCCTCTCCTGTCCTCCTGACGCAGGCTGACAGCTCGTGAAACACAGATGGGGACAGGAGGTGAGCAGATGCTGCCATGGCCCCATCAGAGCTGCCTGTGTTTCTGGTCCCTTCCATGGGCAGCCAGCAGAGGGGCCACAGGGCAGCAGCCCACCAGCATCCTCCTCTCCCCTGAGGCCAAAAAAACCCTGGGCCCCAGGCCTGGCTGGACACTTCCAGCTCAGGGCTGGAAGCCACCCTAAGGACAGAGCTTCCGGGGACAGGAAAGCCACACAACTCCAAGCCCATCAAACAGGACCAAGCAAGTGGCAGCTGTGGTGGGATAGCACGTGGCCACCCAGGGCCTGGGCAGCCAGGACAGGGTCCTGCCTCGGGGGAAGGGGCGACCTTTCCCCTGTGAGCTGGGCTCCTGGGAGGTCAACGAGCCTGGCTGCTGAACTGGGTTGACAACACTGTGATCACACCCACTCGCTGACACCCTGGGCTCCAGGCGGACACGCAGGAGCGCACCCGGCCCTCGGTCAGTCCTGTGACGTGGGCTTGTTATCCCCATTTTACAGATGAGGAAACTGAGGCTCGGAGCCATCGGGCCCTTCAGCTAGGCTCCCAGCCGTTCTTGGTGCAGGGCACATTCACTGATCCAACAAATGCACATTAAGCACCTGCCGGGCCAAACCCCAAAGTATGATCACCCCAAATCTTGGGCTCCCCTGAATGGACCCATTTCCCAGCATCGGCCAAACCTATGGTTCCTTGCCAGCAGGGAACAATCTCGTCTCTCACTCCTTCCATTTCTGGTTTAGAGAAGAACCCTGCACAGGACCCCGGATGGGTGGCCCGCGAGGCTGTCTTCCACCACTGAGGTCTCACGAGGCAGAGGCCACAGCGGCTGAGGGAGGCGGCCCTGGAGCCCATGGACCAGCTGTCCCAGCCCCATCCAGTCTCCTCACGGGCTCTTCTGTCCTGGGGCCGCTGTGTGATGACAGGACAGGACCTGCCCACACGTGTGCGATGAGTGGGGACTCCTGCTATCTGGACAAGAATGATCTATACTCACACTAAGCGATTAGAAAAAATTAAAACACAAAAGGCCCAGCGGCCCGAAGAGGGGCTTCCAGGCAGGAGCTGGTGACCTTGGGCAAGTCGCTTTACCCCTGTGAATGGAGGGGAGTGGCTGAGCCCTCCGCAGCTAACAAAAATCACACAGGCCCCGTCCTGCCGGCTCCTGCAACCCTCAGTCCCAACCCAGGACAATCCTGCATTACGAGGGGCTTCTGCTGGGATCTGGAGTCCACCCACGCCCCCACGGTGGCTCTCCCGCTCACCAGGCCAGGGGGCCCCTTCCCACGGAAAAGCTGCTCCGAAAAGCAGCTATGGGGGAGGAAAGAACAAACTAGATGGTGCCCCAGCCCCCGGCCCCCTTGTAACACGTAACCCTGCTCAAGGAGCCCGTGGGTCCGGTCAACAAGATGTTGACATTATCGTTATGACAACAGCAGCTACATTTATGAAGCACCGACTGCATGCCCCCGAGTGCACTGGGTCCTTTCTGTAGTTACATTGTCATTTTGAGATTAGGAAACAGAGGTGATGGAACTTGCCCAGAGTCACCCAGGCAGGAGTGGGGTCCCCCACAATGGCTCCCCTATAAGGCACTCGTGGCAGGCGTCAGTTCCCTTCCCAAACCCGTTTCTAGCACGCATTCCTGTGCCTACCTGTCCTCTTTGTTCAGAGCACAGAGCAGGGGCCCAGGTTGCGGGGCCCCGGTGTGACTATTCTTGGCAAGAAGCTGCCCACCCAGCTGTCCCGTCCCCAGCTGTCCGGGCCAGGGCAGACCCTCAGGTAATCGCCCTTCTCCACCCCCGCCCCTGCCAGGGGTCACAGCCCAGGGACCAGTTGTTTCAACAGCTGCTAAAATCCAGGTCATAAGCCTGTGGCAATCACGCTTGGGTGTTTTGCTTCCTTTTCCCCTTTGTCCTCCTGCTGCCCCAGCCCCGCAGGCACAAACCCCCAGGCACTGGGCAGCTTTCCCGTCTGAGCCTGGGATAGCATGGAAAACCCTGACAGAGCCCCCTTCCCTCCAGGGCCATTAGCAACACACTGCTGAGGCCTGGCCAAGCCCCTCCCCACCTCGGGGCCTCAGTTTCCCCATGAGACAACAAAGGGTGAGGTCAGAAGCAGCCAGGGTCCCAGCCGCACTGATATTCTCCATGTCCAGCCTCCTCTCCCAGCATCAGAGTTCTCAGACCCCCAGATGGGATGGCTCCCTCGGCCACACCCCCAACGGCTCCGGAAGCTCCCTGAGGGCAGGGCCTGGCCTGGGCACCCTCCCAGTTCCTGCCCGGCAGCAGCAGGTCAGTAAACCCCAAGAAAGCAAAGGGTAGCAACAGAGCGCGCCTCATGCGAGCAGCTGGTCCCCTCCCAGACACTAGGCCGAGGAATTTGCTGCCAGTTTCAAGTTCAAAGCAGAACTTTGATGAAAGGGCTGGAGGATGTGGTCCAAGAGTGGAGGCCGACGGGGGCGCCCAGATGAGAACGCCCCTCCCCTCCTCCCGCAAGGACCTCGGTCTCGCCCACCATCCTGGGGAAGCCGGGACAGGCCTCTGTCATACCTGCCAAGTCTCAGCTGCCAGGACCCCATTTGCTGAGCACGTGGTGTCAGATGCTGGGGACAATGGGCATGGCCAAGTGAAGGCCCAGCAAGGTAGGGACAAGAGAACTGTGGCTACAACTCCGCTGGCCACCTGCCTGCCTGAGGAAGGGCCAAGATCCATGGGGGCCTGGGGTTGGGGACAGAGGGCCCCTGGCAAACAAGGGTGGGAGCACCTCCCAGAACCTCCACTCCAGGGAGTCATCAGCTCGCTCCCTCACCTCCTCAGAGAAGCCCTCCCTGACTGCTTCATCTAAAAGCCAGCCCACCACATGGCCCCTTACCCACTTTATTCCTCCAGAGACTCATCTCCTATCTTCCCCATGTTTGTCTGCCTCCCGGACCTAAAAGGAAGCTCGAGAGGGCTCTGCTCCTCTCTAACATCCAGCCCGGTGCCAGGCAGCAGGCCCTCAATGCAAGCTGAGCTGCAGGCTTGCTCAGAGCCAAGTCCCACTGCCAGATGTCGAGCCACGATGGCTCTGTGCTGGCACAGGGGGTCTTCCCATCCCAAGCTGCACCGACTGGTTCCCATTTCTCCAGTCAAGGAGACTGACTCCCCAGCAGCTTCTGGTTCCACCTTCGCCCCTTCCTGAGCCCTCCAGTTATCCCCATATTTCTAGAGGAAAGCTAAGAACCCTCTTCTCCTTTTAGAACAAACCTCCATCCCCGTTGGTCTCCCCGGAACCTGCCTCCCCACCGTCTCTCTCCTCCCCTTGCTCGCTGGCCAACAGAGCCCATGCGTGGCAGGAACAGCCACAGCCCACGAAACAGCAGCTTCCCCAGGGCACCCCTCCTGCTGTCACCCCGCCCCTTTTGCAGTCACCCTGCCCTTCTCAGTAAATAAGCTTTTCTCCCTCTATTCAAGTGCTTATCTCATAGATCATTTACCACCACTGCCGAAAAATTAGAAAACATAGTTACTGATTTTTTAAAAATTAAAGCACCCATCACTGCATAGGACAAACACAATCACAGTTAGCATCCAGTGTCTGTTTCTGCAGGCTTTCTCCTGCACACGTACGTGCATATATACCAAGTACTTAAAAGTCAAAAACACAAGCAGGGCCGTATTTAGACACGACTCGGTCCTCTGACCTTCTCGTGGTGGGCCTTTTTCCGTCCAGCAGCGTCCAGAAGGAAGCGGCTCCATCCGCTGACTTCCCAGGCACTCTCCAACGCTTTCCGACCCTCGGCTCCCAACCCCACCCAAGCTGGAAACAGCTCTTCCCTCCTGGGCTCTGCGTGGGCCCTTCCCAGCCTCGTGGTGCCCGGGCCTGCTGTGTCCTCCTCTCGGGACCCCCTGCTCC